CTGTTCTGAGACTTGGCCCGTTGGGGCATCAACACCAGGAGCTCCTGCCCCAGCCCTGGGGTCTCACCGTGGCTGCGGTCCCTGGGGTGTCACGGAGGTACCCGATCTCCCTTCCCACCCAGGGAGCCCTGTGACCCCTGGGGTTCGCTTTCTCCCTGGTTCCCACGCACATTCTACATGAAACCCTCACTTACTCTGTTCCCCTGAGAGCAAGGGTTTGAGGGTCCCAGGCCCTGCCCCCCTGCTGTCCCCAACACATGACCGTGCCTTTCCTGGTGGTAGGGTGCGGCATCCCCCAAGGAGTTTTATGCCAAGAATTCCCGCTGGACCGAGGGTCTCATCTCCGCCTCCAAGGCCGTGGGCTGGGGTGCCACCGTCATGGTGTAAGTGCCATCATCACCGGAGCGGGGAGAGGATGGCAGGGTCCTGCTGTCCCTGTGGGAAGGAGGTGGGGGTGGCAGTGGGATGCTCCAGCCCCTCTCTGCCCTCCCGCAGCGACGCTGCCGACCTGGTCGTGCAAGGCAAGGGGACGTTCGAGGAGCTGATGGTCTGTTCCCGGGAGATCGCAGCCAGCACCGCCCAGCTGGTTGCAGCCTCCAAGGTAGGAGCCTGGCACCCGGGGGGCTCCCCTGCTGCTGCCGGCATCCCCTACCGCTGCTCGCACAGGGCTCTGGGGGATGCTCCGTCCCCCAAGAATGCTCCATCCCCCCAGGCTGCTCCCCTGGCTGTGGTTTGGGGTGGCCCTGGGGCACCACATGACCACCCAAAACTGGGGGGGCTCTGCTCGCCTGGCAGGGCATAAGCGCTCCCCTCCCTGCTGCCTTGGCAGGTGAAGGCAGACAAAGACAGCACCAACCTTTGCAAGCTCCAACAAGCCTCCCGGGGCGTCAACCAGGCCACGGCTGGCGTGGTGGCCTCCACCAAGGCCGGGAAGTCGCAGGTGGAGGAGAAAGGTAAGTGTGGGGCTGCAGGAGCATAGACCTGCCCTGAAATCTCTGCTTTTCGCACTCGCCATCTTCAGCCAGCCGTGCCCCACTGGTCCCTGCCTGCGTCTCCCGTGGTGGTGGCAGGCC